TCGATCTTTGTCCCCATACTTACCTACGGTCATGAATCGTGGACCATCACTGAAAATCTTCGAACCCGAGTACAAGCTGCTAAAATGGGCTTTCTTAGACGAGTCGCTGGCCTTAGGCGTGTCGACATGGTCCGGAATACAGATATCCAGGAGATCCTTTGGGCACAGCTTCTGCCTCTCCAGACTGAGAAGTCACAGCTGCGATGGTTTAGGCATATGTTTCGAATACCTCCAGAGAGGAAATTTAAGCAGCTTTCTTGCGAAACCGACCGGCAGAAGGCCCAGGGAACGGCCAAGATTAACGTGGTGCAAATATATGGAAGGAACCTATTTCAGACTTTAGCTGTCCTCTGCCGAAGCTCAGACTCTGACACAGGATCGGGAAGGTTGGAAGCACTATCTGTTGCGTTTGCCTCCGCGATCCGAAAGGAGAAGCAGCCATGGAAGGTGATGAAGATACAGAAATAGTTCATTTGGGATTCAACAACGGAACCGCTGTAGAGTCCAGAGGGAGATATTCAGGGATACTGCATTTCACCATGGTTAGCCACTTGGGGATATGATCAAACCTGGTGTAGTTGTGCAAACGTTTTTTGGATGATGAGCGTTATGCTAGAGTCATAGATTTTCTTGATGCACTTTAGAAGTTAGTGGTATTTGGACAAGGTTTCAAGAGTATAATGATAAGTTTGAGTAGTGAAATATGACAGCCGATAAATTACATCTATTGACGATTTATTCATGAAGCAGAGGAAGCCATGCTGTAATGATCTTCCTAGTCTCTTCCTTGCTACTGATTTTGCCTTTTATCTGTTCCACCACCGCTGCTTCGAAGATCTTTCTTTTTCATCAGGTGGCGTCCCTGCGCACGATTATGCGTGCATCTAACTGAATCACACGGTTTCTTAGTATGAAGAGCCCTTATCGTCTGTTCAACCGAGACGAGCTGTATGTTCACTTATGGGGTTTTCCAACTTTCTCCTGCCTTTACCAATGTAGCTCTCTCCGCAAGAGCAGTTTATCTGATAGGGTGTTTCGATTTGATGCATTTCTTGCACAGGTTGCCATGAGGTTGCCAAGCTTGCTTGGGGATCTGCAAACCTTTGCTGCCCCGTACCTGGTCACGATGCATTTGACTGCTTCACTTAAGTTCTTCTAGTACGAAAATACCTAAGAGAACGGTGTTGCAAATCTTCTCTGGTGGCTGTTGTTCCTTCTGAATTGTACATCCTGTTTAACTTCCAGCCCACATTGTTGAACTGTTCTAGATGAGAGTCTTACAACAACGATTTTCCTGCAGTTCAGTGACAAAGTTGCTGTTATCCTGATGAAGAGAAGAATTCTCGCATAGTCCTACATTTCAGAGTTTCAGTGTTGGAACCAGTCCTGCTTTTAAGGATGTCTAAACGTGGAAATGAAAGATGATGTTGTCCGATGTGGGTGGGTTTCTTGTCTACAATGGTGATGAGTGCAGTTCTTTCTGCACATCAGCATGTCTAAGAATGGAAGTTCTATGTCTGCTTCAGTTCGTTGGTCAACTGGATATTTTCATGGACGCAATTCAGATGTTGACGAAACATGTTCAGTTGCTCTTCTCAATGTGGCCATAGAACCCAGGTACCGTCCGCACACCTGTTCTATGCCAGTGGTGATGCGTTGATTCCAGCGCTGTTTCTTCGAGCTGCTCCATACTGGCGATACTGTGGCACAGCCTATCCGTTGGCGTTGTGGTATTTTCCATTTGCTAAGAACTGGGTCGAGTACAGATATATTTATGAGACTTCTAACATATCCGTTCCTGTCCAGCAAATGGGCGGGTAAGGTAGTTCAGGGGCGTAGGTTTGTGTTGAATAATTTCTAATGCATCTCTAATTGGTATTATGGTGAAAAGAAAATAACAAAAGAATTTTTTTTTAAAAAAAGACTTGATCAAATTATGAATTTAGCTGGAAGTTTCACAAACAGACCCTGGTCGTGAGCACCTCTGAGTCGTCCTACTGCCAGCCGCAAACAATCATCTCTACCAAATTACTTTACTGGTCGTTCCAGAATGACACTCTTTCTCAGTCTGTTCCACAGATTAACAGAATGCTTCTAAGCATACTGTTATGCGTTCTCCAAAGACGCCCTAAGCAATAATGCCATACGTAATTGAAGTTCCCAATTTGATTGGTATGTCCATCAAAAATCCTTGATATCAAAAGGAATGCTACAGCTGCTATTTGATGTGACCATCAGCTTGAGTCACTTGTGCTAATAGAATGTCGACGTTTGTAAGGTCCGCATTATTAACAACTTTTCCACAGCCTTGCTACAAGACCCCGCCTACTGCATCATAGTGAGAAAGTTATTCGAAGAAATATATGCCTCTGTCTTATTCATATACATTAAATTATACATTAAATCTTGTTTCCTATTTGGCTGCCGTCATGTTGCGGTTGTCTTGAAATGCTGCTGGAGTTAAAGCTTCCTAGTGAAAAAAACCTGCCTGAGAAAAATGAACTAAAAATCAATCTACACTGAATATCCTTTACTACTGAAAATTTCTGTGCCCGGAAGAGAATATGTTCTATTCTATACGGTCTAAGCTTTTAACTCTCGTTTTGTGTCGGTCAGCACTGTGCGGTTCCTGGTTCTTTTACT